AGAGAGAGAGAGAGAGAGAGAGAGAGAGAGATTCAATTTCAAATATACTTTATATCCTATTTAAGTGGCGATTATTGGCTTTCACTCACATATTCTGGTGAAAAGAGTACTCAAATATATTGCCAATAAAAAAGAGTTAAATAGTTTAGGGCCGAGAGTTCGTATCAATAAAAGCATATTTATTTATATAATGGATACTTTATTAAAGTGTGCGAACTATATCATTATTATTTCACCTGGATTATAGGGATCACATTATATAATAGTAAATGATATATTGACTTTAACCAACTAGCTGAATACAGTATAATTTATAATGAATTAATAGATTAATTTGTGTAATGTAACAATTACAATTTGTATGAACAAAACGATCATGTTAGTTGCACCGCAAGTAACCTTATTGATGGGCACAACGGGCACGAAGTCGTCGATCGCACAGCATATCAGCGAAGGGGACGAGATATTTATGAAGTGTCAGATCAGTGCTCATCCGCACACATATGTCATACAATTCTTCTTCAATGGCACACAAATTGTTGACAATTCTGACGGTAAGTGTTGCTACAAATTATATCTAGATTGAATTCTTGTAATTAGTACCATTGAGTACTATATTATGTTTAAATTCATTGTTAATTAATACAAATGTACACAAATGTTGTTCACACTAAAGGGGTGTTCATTAATAACTCAAGTCTCGTAATAAAGAGCGTTCGTCGACAGCATTCCGGACGCTATCAGTGTTTCGCCAATAACTCCGAAGGCAGAGGAGAGAGCAATGAATTAGTCCTCGCAGTCACCTGTAAGTACACAATGCATATCATCCTAATTACTGCCCTTACCCTCATTATTTTGTATAATATTTAAACTAACACAGATTTATTAAATATAATTTATGTCAAATATTACCATGGTTCATTATAATTAAGTGATATTTTTGGAGTTAACTAAAGAGTTAGTTTACGTTAAGTCATTAACTCTTATGTTAAAGTGAGTTACGACTTATAAACTGTTATTTATTAAATATATAACATTTATAACATTCATAAACGAGTGATTAGTCTATATTAAAGGGAGTTAGATGATGAAGTGTTTGTTTGTTTATAAAAATAAACATGAACACTTATTTTTTAACCCTACTCGATTACCACCTTTTAATTAAACATGATTAGTTAAATTTTATTTACACAATGAGTTAACATTATTATTAACTTAATGAGAGTAACACTTTTTATAAACTGTATTGTAATAATTATTATAAATTTTATGCCATTTAAAGGAACGACTTAGTTTTATTACTGGTTATTATTACTAATTTAGTTTTGAATGTTATTCATACTATGTAAATTATATAACAGTATAATTATCAAGCATACATTTTAACATGGGCAACATTTTTAACATTTTATAAATGTAAAATTGATATCTAAAACTTATTTAAATATTACGACATTCTTGTTCACAGTTAATATACACTAATATTTTGCATAACTCTACAGTATTTTATAAAATAAATTGCCCTAAAAATCCACTTCAATAAAAACTTCACAAAATGCTTAACCCTAATGCTATGCTGTGTTGTGCAGACCCGCCGGTGTGTCGGTCGCACAAGCGTGTGTTTGGGGCGGCGTTGGGGGAGGCGGTGAAGATCCCGTGCTCTGTGACGGCCGAACCGCCGGACGTGGCCTTCCAGTGGACGGTCAACAACGCGGAACTGTTGGCCAGTTTCGCGTCGT